CAGTATCATTTCTGGCTAAAAATGCATTTGACAGGCAAAATAAGACAGCAGGACAACCCTCAGAGAATTCACTGCTCCATGTGCTCCCATCATTCTAAGAGTTTGCATTGGCCTACTCATCTTTGCCACCTGCTGGACACTGCAGGCCTGGGTGCTGTTTTACAGGTTACAATATTTTCCTATACATGGTACTATTTCTCCTAAAGGTAAAACACACAGGCCTAGGAACCAAAGGTAGAAGGCTCTTCTCACTATTACCCTCACTGACCCTGTAGCAAAATATCTGTTTCTTCTCCCTGCAATACTGGGATCTGCTGATTTAGAGATTTTCTATTCCAAAGAAACACTGCTTCTACCAGGGAACACAAAGATTCCACAAACAGGTTAAAAAGTATAAAAAGACTTCAAACACAGAGAATTCACTGCATCATTTTTTTCTTTGTTGTTCTATTTTAAGTTGCAACAACAAAATCCAACTCCTTATACAAAAGGCATACACTTACTTGAAGAATATACCAGGATTAAAAGGGTGGGATGGGAAGGAGATTGGGCAAGAAGGAAGTGAATGTTTGACCATTGTTATCACACAACACAAGTAAATAACGCTATTATCAACTAGAGTGCTGTCTGACCCACCAAGCCATAAAACTAGGTATGCACAGCACCACTTCATCATCAAGTGGGAGCTGCATCTAGGAGACCAGCTTGAGCAGGTCCTGAAGGCACGAGCAAGCTGTATGAGGCTCAGAAAGTACCTTCTTCTGCAACATCTACCACTTCTCCCTCAACTCATACCAGTGGCTCTGTGGGGGGAGTTCCCTATGAGCAGCTGACTGAAAAATAAAAAAGGTCACAGTGGATTCTAGATGGTTATGCATGGTCTGATGAAACTACTCGCAGAGATAGTAGGGATGAGACCTTCATGCACTGGACTCAAAAGGAGAAAGAACTGAAGGTTTAGATTTACACTGATGATGGGCAATGGCTAAGAGTCTGTATGGAAGTTCAACCACACTGAAAGAACAAGATGGGAAAACTGCTGACAATAAGGTCTGGGGGAGTGGTACATGGAGGGGCCTCGCTGAATAGAGGATGTGTCTGTATAAATGCTTCCCAAGGGGACACGCTACTGAGGAGGCAGAGTTAGGTGACAAGATGATTCTATCGGCGAATGCCACTTAGTTTCTTTCCGCTGTCTTCCCAGTCCTTGCTCAACTGGCTTATGAATGACTGGCCGTTGTGGCACAAGCTAATTGACTCAGGTATTTTCTCACCAAGGCTGATGTGACTACTGACTACAGCTGCTGCTGGCACCTCACAGCACAGACCAACGCAGAGTCACTGATACGGCACTATTTCCGAGGGCAAGGAGCCAGCCGCCTGGGGACAGTATATTCCCTCCTCGTGGAAGAGGCAGCAGTTTGTGCTCACTGCAGTATATTCTTATTTTACAAATAAATTTGCCTTTACTGCCTGCAGTGCTTCTGCTGAAATCTCATCTGTGGATTTATAAACTGTCACATTCCTTCAGTACCTCACACAGTATCATTTCTGGCTAAAAATGCATTTGACAGGCAAAATAAAAGACAGCAGGACAACCCTCAGAGAATTCACTGCTCCATGTGCTCCCATCATTCTAAGAGTTTGCATTGGCCTACTCATCTTTGCCACCTGCTGGACACTGCAGGCCTGGGTGCTGTTTTACAGGTTACAATATTTTCCTATACATGGTACTATTTCTCCTAAAGGTAAAACACACAGGCCTAGGAACCAAAGGTAGAAGGCTCTTCTCACTATTACCCTCACTGACCCTGTAGCAAAATATCTGTTTCTTCTCCCTGCAATACTGGGATCTGCTGATTTAGAGATTTTCTATTCCAAAGAAACACTGCTTCTACCAGGGAACACAAAGATTCCACAAACAGGTTAAAAAGTATAAAAAGACTTCAAACACAGAGAATTCACTGCATCATTTTTTTCTTTGTTGTTCTATTTTAAGTTGCAACAACAAAATCCAACTCCTTATACAAAAGGCATACACTTACTTGAAGAATATACCAGGATTAAATATTCACAGCTTTGGCAATTAACCAGTAATCCAAAGAAACACAATCTATACTTTAACATGTCCTGTAGTGATTAGCTTTCCTTCTGAAAAGTGATCTTTAAATGACAGATAAAACTTTAGTGAATGCCGAAAACGCATTTAACTTGTGGTGTGGTGCACAGGGACATAGAACTTTCTAAAGCAATATGATTCAAGGGAGTAGCAGAGTTTGAACAAGTGTTTCTATATTTAAGAGCCTGGGGATTCCCAGAAGTGTTTAAGTGTATTTATATTTTACACTATCAGTGAGCCCCAGACAACCATAACTAGTTTTGAGAGAAAGGATGGAAATTAGCAATTCCAGATACATCTTGGAATGGAATTCAGGGGAAAATTTTTTCCTTCATTTTGAACTTATTTTAAAATACATAAAATTATAAATACCTTTCTTTTCTTAAACAAAGATTTACTTTTTAATTATTATAATGAAAACACACACACACATATGTATATATTTCACTTCAGCTGACTGCCAAACTGGCACTTGAAATACTGAATTCAGCAAAGGACTACAAGTAGCCAAATTGAATCAAGCCACTTGGATAGTGAAGATCACCATAGCACAATGAATATAGCTGGAAAGGTTCATCGAACTAATTTTTTAAATGAACAGAAATAAGTATTCTATGCTAACTTGATAACGAAGGGGTGTGATCACTGAGTGCTCACTCTGCAAGGCACTGTTCTAAGAATTAACTAATTAATCCTTACAGTGATTCCATGAGGAGTTTATTATTCTTATCCTTATTTTATAAATACAAAAAGGTAGGTGAGAGATTAAATAGCTCGTCAACCTACGTCATGTAATTAGTAGATGCCAAAGAAAGGATCTGATCCTAGACTGCTGGCTTGAGCCATTTTCTTATCAGCTCTGCAACACAGACTATATACCAAAGGCTGGGACTCCAGTGAACCAAGTGAGGCACGTGTTTGGGGTGCAAAATTTATGGTGGTGTGCATGTGCACACAAACACAGAAAACCCTCAGTGATCAGGTTAAGGTAGTATTTTTAAAAATTAGAATGCAAAAATTCTATAATGAACAAAGTTTCAGACAAGATCAAAATTTCTGATTTTTCCCTTCTGACTTAGGCCCCTATGTAGCTTGGCATTGTTACTGGTCTTGTCTTTTGTGCTTGAGGGAAGGGCTTTATCAATCTCATTTCCCTCATTCTAGTTCTGGCCCTGCCAAAATACAACTCATACCAAAACTTTCCTTTATGTTAATCCTGAGTTCTAATCAATGATTGGCTAATTTGATCACAGTGGCAATCATCTGAACTTATGATATTATTTTTCTGAAACACTCAAAGGCAAAAGCATTATATACTGAGCAAATATTAATGGATATTGCATATTCAAAGCATTCACACGTTAAGGATGAAAACAGAAATTCATTTTTGGCAAAAGAAAATTCTATACTTAGGTTTAGTTGGCTGTACCATCCTTACCTCAGTGAATAATCATGTATACATTTAACAAATGTTTTCCGAGCACCCACAAGGTCGGATACAACTGAAGCGACTTAGCAGCAGCAGCAACACTATATGCAAAGTCTAAATTAAGTACTCCAAGAATAATGCAATGATTAAGTGAAGTTTTTATACAGGAAAAACTACTTTGGGGAATATATCTAATTAAGAGGTAATTATGGGGTACATATTTTCATTTAATCTTCATATTATCCCTCCTTTGTAGATGGGAAGGCTGAGGCTTAGAAAGGTTGCCTAATTTGTCCAAGATCACCCAGCTTGAAAGTGGCAGGACGAGATCGAAATTCAGATCTGCCTGACTTAAAAAAAAAACTTTCTATTATTCTACTAAGACAATTCAAATTTCTACAGACTTTCAAACAACAATAGAAAACATTTATTAAGAGGGAAAATGAAAATATAAAACTGCTTACTAGATTAAAATTATGTAAAAATATGTTTACATGTGGACAAAAACTAAAAGGAAATCATCGGATATTGCAGTTAATGGTAACATTCTTTAAAAATTATAAACACAATACAAGGTATGGAAAGAAATCAGTTTAAATTGGGTAACACAAATTGAGCATTACATTTGTATTTTTCACTATGTAAAATGAATAGAAAAGAGTTCTACATATAGCATGTTTGATAAAGAAATTGAAGACTTTCAAGAAAGACTTTAGTTATGATTAATCTGAGTTCCCACATCCTATGAGGTCAGTGATTTAGTTACTATCAATACTCCAAACAAGAAAATGCTATCATTAAACATGACTTATCCAAATGTACAATTGGGACTAAAAGCTGCAGTTTATACCTATAATTTAACAAAAGGTCACAGCATGGTCACTGAACATAAATAAAACAACTATGAAGTTTTTTTTTATTTCCTTCACCCTATTCAGTGACCATACACTTTATCCTTTGTATTTATGGCTTTCAACTTATTTCCCTATTTAAGGACACCAAATTCTGACACTCATTCACTAATACATACACACTTGGTTGGTGGAACATGAATTCCAAAAATTTCTTGAGAATCTTAGGTCTGGTAAGGTTAAAAAAAAAAAAAAAATACCCAGAAGGGAATTATTTAAACTTGAAATAATTTACAGCAAAGAGAATAGTAATTTTACTAAACATTGGACTCACAATATGGAGTCACTTGATCTGAAAAACAGGAAGTGTTCAAATTTTCTAAAATGCAAGAATGTTAAAGGGCAAACTAGCAGTCATCCTAGATAAAGTACAAGTGTTAAACAGGACTATATTTCTCCAATTTCTAAGATAAGCAGTACCTAATAATGGGTTAGAAGAACCTACAAAATTACTTGTGGGTTTTATTAAATTACAACTGACAGTAGAAAGTATTTGCACCTTTAGGAAACAAGTAGTATTTTAAAGGAAATTAATACTTACTTGATAATCATTTCTCTTAATATTTGGAACATCCATGTTGTGAGTAGAAGGGCAAATATCTTCATACTTTTTGCCCGTGAAAATATCAATTCCAACAAGGTGAACCTAACAGAGAAAGGAGAACAGGAAACCTGTTTAATCTTTGCCAAGATATCACTCATTACATACACAGAAGTATAATACCAATGCTGATTATGACAGATTCTTTCTCCTTCCAAGGTCATCTAATTTTACTTTCTTAAAAAAAAAAGTGGTCATACAACTGAGAAGCAGTGAACAACTAAACAGTATCATGACATATCAAGACCCAACATCACACAGTCTAGTAATTCAATCATAAAAATGCTGAAGAAAAATGAAATTAGTTTCCTTAGAATGATGTTAGCACAGGTTTTCTCATTTGTAAACTGAATAGATTGCCTAAGTCACTAGGATTCAGGAAAGTTTCAATTCCCAGTTAATGAAACATTATTAGAGCCCAAGAAGGAAATGCTACCTTTCAGTATTCAGATAGCTGATCACCCAGTAATTGTGGGGGCGAAAAAAAATGTGTTCTTATACACTTATAAGTTTAGAAACCTCATGTTCTGTAATGGAATACAAATGATCAAAATCCCAACACCAAGGCAGACCAGGAAGGGCATTTACCTTGGCATGACCGTGCTTTCCAGTTTTGGAAGTTGACATCTCCACTATCTTGCATGGTCGTCCTTTGAGCACCACGAAGCCGTTTTTGCGCAGGGCGGAACACTGCATAGGGTAGGTGCTGGAAGCCCCAGCATCTCCAGTAGTGAAATCAATTTCATCCGCCATGGTGGGCTGGGGAAATTCTTCTGAGGGTACTATGCAAAAAGTTTGTTTGCTTTTTAACAACTAGCATGCAAGCAGGGAAACGCCTCATTTCGGACAAGTTACGAGCCAAGCATCATGGATCTATTATTTCTGCATTTATAGAACACCCACCCGGAATAATGGGCACTTTCTAACTCCGGCCTTACAAACTTTTCCATCCTTTGGTGGGGAGATGGGAGGAAAGTCGCAGCAGAGCTCGCTGGGGTTGGGGAATACCCGCCGAAGGCGCTCACCCGCTCGGGGGGGCAGCAAATCCCGGCCCCCACCGTCCCACCGCCGGACGACCTTCCCGCACCGCGCCGCCCGGCCCTCCGCCGCCGCCCGGATCCTCAGTGCGGGGGGCCCAGCCCAGGCCGCACATCCCTGCGAAGGATGGGGATAACAGGACCTGGCCATCAGCACCTGGCCCTCGGGCAGTGGGCGCACACTTCTCCCCCCAGCCTGCAGCGGCGTCACTTCGACCTCTCAGACACCCTCTGTCCTGCCGACATCCCCGGCCCGGCGCCTCACGGGCCTGAGCCCTAGCGGGTCCCGCGCTCGCCTCGGTCGCCCATCCATCCTTCCTCCTCTTCTCGGTCGGGGCTCGGCTCTGGCTGCCTACCCCAGCCCTTCCTCGCTCCGGTCTCAGCCCCACCACCTTTTCCCCCAGTCTTCACCTTTCAGAAGGTAAAGGGAGCCTTTTGCCTGCGCACCCGCGCCGGTCCGGCACAGCTGCGGCGGCGGCGGCAGCTGTGGCGGCCGCGGCAGTTCCAAGAGACGGGGCGGGGCCGCCACACTTTCCACACCCCGGCCTCCCCGCCCTTTCCCGCCCCCACCTCAGTCCCACTTCCGGGATAGGTCCCGGCGCGTCATAGGCACCGCCCTCTCGCGCTACCATTGGCTATAAGCTTCCTGAAGCCCCCGCCCAGTCACGTGAAGAGCGCCCTGGCAACCCCACGTGCTGCGGATTAGTGCACTTCCGGCGTGAAGAGCACTTTATGGAGTTCGGTTGCTGAGGATAAACTCGCCGGCAAGGAAACTTGCTGTCTCGAACTTCCAGGTGCGATTAAGTTAGGGTCCCTGTCGAACTGAACGGAAACCAAACCACGCACTCGATGGCCCGTGCCCTCAGGTGTTGTGGTAGTTGTCACGTGACGGCTGTCAGAACTCACAAGGCGTGCGAATTCAACGAGTGTATCTCGTGGCTTTGGAGGGAACTTGAGGTTCCAGTTTCTGGCCCAATTTGAAGCCCTACTTGGCGTTCCAAACCATGCTTTTTCCTTGAGGAAGAGCTTGAGTGCAGTATGGTGTTACCCAGCTCCTACTGTGGGCTTCGTGGGAGACACCAGCCACCCACGATGAGATTCCGGCAGCGGCTGCCACTGCTGATCCGCACTCAAGGGTGAGAACTCCTGAGACATCCACGAACTAAAAAGCAGCGGTGAAATGCCCTAACTCTCTCCTCACATGCCTCACATCAGAGGCTGTTACCGAGTTTTGGAGGCAAATGGTGTCTGACTCCTACTGCATTGTCCAGCAGAAAGATTTTCTGTCAAACTCAGCTCTTACATCCTCCTGACATTGGCATTCCTTCGAGTTTGAGGTATGTCTGTACCTCATTAGACCAGTCTTGGAATTAATGTGGAGCCAATAGTGACTTGAATAGGATTAGGACCGAGTTTCTTAAAAAGAGATGCGTTCTCCTTTTCTCAGTGGTTTCACAGCCCACCAAATTCTACCTTGCAGAGGTGACCTTAACACCCCAGTTTATGTGGCCCTGTGATTTTGTACTGCTGTCTCATGGAAAATTCCATTTCTCACCCTTCTATGTGACTCCTTGTTTTGCACAGATGTTTCACGTGTATTGTCCAATCTGAGATTGACAGTAAGCAAGTGAACACCCTAAACTGAGCTCAGAATCTAGCTAATATGTGAAAGAGCCAGATTAGGATCCTGGTTCAGGATTCCACTCTGCTTTTCTTTACATCCCCTAACCTTTCCCTGTTATTGTTAGGAAGTTGCAGATATTTAGAGTATATAAGCAGGTAGTGCAGTAAATGTTTTATGTGCATTATTCCTTTAATCGTGATTGTTACTCCTTTTTCAACCTTCAGATTTACTGTTGGAGTTTATACAAAGTGAAATTTACCCTGTTAAGTTCTATGAGTTTTGAAAAACATAAGCAGTTATGTAACTACCACTGTAAACCTATAAACAAGATGTAGAATATTTCTCAAAACTTTCTTTGTGCCTCTTTGTGGTCAGTCCCTTCCCCCAACACCCAGCCCAGGCACCATTAGCAACTATTTTGTCTGCACTTTCAATTGTGGAAGAAGGCAGAGAAAAGTAATTTGACTTAAATTACACAGCTAGCAAGTCAGAGAAGGCAGTGACAACCCACTCCAGTACTCTTGCCTGGAAAATCCCATGTATGGAGGAGCCTGGTAGGCTGCAGTCCATGGAGTCGCGACGAGTCGGACACGACTGAGCAACTTTACTTTCACTTTTCACTTTCATGCATTGGAGAAGGAAATGGCAGCCCACTCCAGTGTTCTTGCCTGAAGAATCCCAAGGACGGCGGAGCCTTGCGGGCTGCTGTCTATGGGGTTGCACAGAGTCGGACACTACTGAAGCGATGCAGCAGCAGCAGCAAGTCAAAAATCGAGGCTTGAACTCTAAGGCAGTTTGTCTCCACAGTCACGGTTACTACCATATACTACTGCATGCTGCCTGTATACCACCATATACTGCATTCACACAAGATTTGGGTTTGGAATCAAATGATCCAGCTTCATGCATTCAACAAATATAGTGGATTCTAGTCAAGTTGCTGGAACACTGGATTAGTGAATATTGAACTGTTGCTACTAGAGGAAGTATATATTACATTCCCATGAGCATCACATTTTGGTCGGCTAACATATATAATCTTGCTTTATGTATGCTTCTGTTTGAAGACACTGTATTTAATAGGAATTAGTTCATTAACATTTAAGTCACAGCCAACAGCACTGTAATTCATGCACAAAGGAAGCTTATCTAACACATGTGTCTTCTCTGTAAGGCACATCACAGCCTACATGTGCTTAGGAACACTAGAGAGCGCTACAGTACTCTATTTGGGGACTATTATAAACAACCAAATCATCAACGAAAGTCACAAAAAAGCAAAAAGTAACACAAATAGACTGAAAATAACACTTGTTTACAGTTTGATATCTGAAACAAGAAGGCAGACCACTGCCGCCTTTGACCTTAGCTTGGAAAATGTGTATTGGCTGACTAAAATCGTCTCCTATTTTGTAAATGTCCACAAATGAGCGAGAAAGCACAGCAAAATTTGATTTTGGGGGTCACAAGTAAACTTTAGTAATCAGGTGTATTCATAAATATGGAATCTATGAAAAATGAGGGTTACTTTTTATCTTAGTGCACTCAGGATTGGAATGACTGTGTTGATCAGGACAGCCTTTTATTTATTAGGTACTTGCTGTCCAGTGCAGGATACAATCCAGCAATTTTAACAGATGTAATGCTGCTAAAGAAATAACTACAGGGTGCTGAAATAAAGGTCTTGGCCCTCTTTATCTGGTCTAGGTATTGTTCCGTTGAAATATAACAATCGATAAATTACTGAAAATATACAGCCTACCAAGACTGAATCATGAAAAATTTGAACAGATCATTTAGTAGGAAGAATTCTAGGTCAGTAATCAAAACCTCCAAACAAAGAAAAGTTCAGAACCAGATGGTTCCACTGCTGCATTGTAACAGACATTTAAAGAAGAATTAACACCAATTTTTTGTACACTTTTCCAACATGTTAAAGATGAGTGACTGTGAACTTCCAGATGTTCAAGCTGGTTTTAAAAAAGGCAGAGGAACCAGAGATCAAATTGTCAGCATCTGCTGGATCATCGAAAAAGCAAGAGAGTTCCAGAAAAACATCTATTTCTGCTTTATTGACTATGCTAAAGCCTTCGACTGTGTGCATCACAATAAACTGGAAAATTCTGAAAGAGATGGGAATACCAGACCAC